GCTTGACTTAGAAACAACAGCCTCTTCTAAGAAGCTGCTGCCCCCAAGGTTCAACGGTTCTCTCCTCCATGCCTGGTGTCACCCACCTACATGGGTGCTCAGAAAGGATGTAGGTGGGCAGTCTGGAGCTAACCAAATTATGGGTGACTCCTGAAGAGAAAAGCGCAGGGATCCACGGGGCTCTGGTACCGGGGGAGACCCGGGAACGCATGAGTCAGGGCTCATTGCGGACACTTAGGCGGGAGCAGCGGGAGGACTCCGCGGAGGCTCTGGCAGCAGGAGTGGTAGGAAGGAAGCCAAGAAAGGGAAATCCCGGAATACCGCAGCAGGTCTGTGCGTGGGGTCAAAGACCCGTGAGGCTAACAGCTATAGAAATAATGACAGAGAAGAGAAAGACCGTGCCCGTGGGATGGGAGGTTCCTGTTGTATCTCAAAGCAAACTCCGGAGCATTGGCTGTGCTGGTAGATGCGTGACGGGGGGGAGTTACTTCACCTTCCTGGGCCCAGGTACGCCTCACCTGTGAAGTCAGGACACTAACAGTACCCACACCCAGGGGTCTTTCGAAGATTAAATGAAAATCAATATGCATGTCGAAGGAGTAAAAGCACAGAAGAAATGAATGACAACTCTCTTTCAGCTCTGAAATTTGACTCTAAACCTGATAGTTTAACTGTAACTGGGTATTTCTTACGTAGATATTTTATGCCATGATATGTCTAAGGCACCGTGTTTCTGTGTGAGCACATCCAGTAAATATTCAATGATTCCCCGGGATTTTACTTTTAATAGATATATATGTGGGGGGGGAAGGTGCTCTTGTCATTTAGGTTGGCAACTCCGAATTCGGTGGCAGCTCTGGGCCAGTAGTGACCTGTCACCGTAAGAACAGTCTGAATTCTATGAAATATCACAGCTGGACCTTGGTGCAGAGAAGACCAATTCACCCGGGGGCACACTCATCACTAATCACCATCCTTTGAGCTGCTTTCATTTCCACGGGACTTCTCGGCCAAGTCAGGAGCAAGGGCTGCACTGTCCTGCCTGCGTGGGGTTCACTGTCCCGCGGGCTGGGTGCGCGCAGGGCCGCCTTCCCGAGGCCCAGCGCTGGGGGTGAGCTCGCCCCCGACACGATCATCCTCTCTTGATGTGACATCAAAAACTTCTTTCCGAATGCTTAGTTAAACAAATGCCCTTTAAGTGAACAGTGTAATCAAGTGACGGAGGCTTTTATGTCACCTAAAGAGTCCCCGAGTTCCAGAGGAGCCCCGGCGGCCACAGGCTGACTCGAGCCCACAGGGTGCCCGGCTCCGCCCTTCAACCTGAAACACGGCGGGGTGCTCCTCAAAACAGCAGCAGGACAGAGGCTAAAATGAGAATAACCGACNGGCGGGGTGCTCCTCAAAACAGCAGCAGGACAGAGGCTAAAATGAGAATAACCGACGTTTCCTCACAGAATTTCAGGAACAAATGTGCCCAACTATTCTCTAAAAACGAGAAGACGGGCACCGGGGAAGCATGACGTCAGCCACGTAGAGCAGGGAGAGTGCGCCCGAGGCCCCCCGGCCTGGGCCCCAGCATCTCCAGTCACCTGCCAGCCGGCGGTCATAGCTGCAAAGCACCCAGGGGCCCACGGCCTCCCGCCTTTGCTGCGTGCGCTTCTCTGGGAACCGGGGGCTAAGTGCATCCCCGCCCCCTCCAGCTGCCTTCCCCCAGCTGCCTTCATCCCAGGAGCACCCGCCTCCCTGCACCTCCCTGCAGCGCAGCCCCAAGCCCAGGCTCCCGCCCAAGGGCCTCCTTTTCACTCCCCACGTCCAGGAAAGCCGGGCCCAGGAGGGCTGCCCGGCTCCCTCCCTCCGGGGCAGGCTGCACTCGAGGGGGGCCCCACCTCGCTAAAATCACAAGTCAGCCCACCGCTCTGCTCCCTCGCCTGTCCAGTCCCCCTTTCTGCTTGACGTTTCCCCTCAGCACGTATCGCAAATACACTCTACGCATTTAACCTACTTTTCCTCCTTATTTTCTGCCTTTCTTAACTGAATGCGAGCTCCGTTTTTTTAATTCACATCTGTATTTTTTAGGGACCTAGAATAACCTCTGCAATGTAGTAGATGCTTAAAGAAATATCTGTGGGCTCAGTGGGTAAATGAACCTGCCCCCGAAGGTTGTCGTGATGGTCAAGGGAGATGTCCCGGGCAGAATTTACCAGTAAAACATACGTACGGTTCACTGTTTTAAATTCACTTTAACATTCTGTTGAAACAGTAAAATGTAGTTGAATTACAATTAAACTTCTGCAGTCGACATAAAATAAATAAAAATGAGTTATAAGAACTGGAAAATACTTGGCAACGTTAGAAGTTAAGTAATAAGAAAAGTTTTAGAAAACAGATGAAGGCTTAAACGTGTACCCCAGATATAAATAACTACCCCGGGTTTGTGGATTAAACCTGAGCTGCCACCTCTGGTCTGAAGCAATAAAATTCTGACCTGCGGCCCGGTGAGGAAAAGCCAGATTTCAGGAACAAACAAGCTGCGTAAGAGCACAACAGGTCTCCTGACAGGGAGGCGGCCACTGGGGAGGGAGAAAGCCCAGAGGACGGGGTAGGCTCAGCAAACATGAACGGAAGCTCGGGTTTTCTCCTGCTGTTGACTTAAGCAATAAAAAGTACATCAGCGGGCCCTGTGATGAATGGCACATAACTAATACCTCCCGGGTTAGCCCTTCAGGCCCGCTGAAGGATTGGCCACCCCCTAGGAGTGACAGGAAGAAATGAAACTGCGCGAACCATCCAGTCCCAGGGGGAATCACCTGGGCCGGGGCTTGCGTTTTCCCAGGGAGAAAACAAAGCCGCCAAACAAATAAAAAGCAAAGCCCCAAACACAGATAGACATGATGCGCTCCACACAACCAGCTCCCATCGGAGCCGGTGGCATGTCTGCGGCCGGAGGACTGGTCTCTCCCTGGGAACCTTAGCTTGCGGCCTAAGGGCACGGTTCCAGCCACGGGAGTGCGGTGTCTGATCTGAAACGAAGCCAGATGCAGCCGAGGACCCCGGTTCGGTTCAGAGACGGTCTGCAGGATGCAGGGTCTCAGCAGGCGCTCAGTGGGGCTACCGCACGTCTTACATTCTCACGGAGCTCGGTCCTGGAAGGCGGGCAAACATCGTTTCCACAAACGGGAAAATTCAAAACAAGTAGATGAGGTGACTTCCTTTTTCCAAAATAATTACAAAAGTTGCCCAAAATTATCTAACTAAAAATTACTTCACGCTGAGAATATAAATGTCTGGTTCTTTGGTAAATAAAATTAACAAAATGCATCAAAATAGAACTACCAGCATATAGTTCTAGTTCCTTTGGTTAAAACTGGTTCTGAGATGAAGAAATCACTAGGAGAACTGAGCTGTGTTTAAGAGTAAAACCAGCCTCCTGCTAGCGCTGGTTGAAACCACTCCCTTCAAACACGGGCCTGGATTGAAATCGGCTCGTTAAGGCTAAACTCAACAAAGCATCGAGATGTTTATATATGTGGACATAATCTACCTGTATTTGGATTTTTAAAAGGGGGGGAGGGAACAGTGAGGGAAAGCAACACACCTTCACTGAGACTCTCTTCTTTTTAAAAGTATGTTTTTATTGACTTTTTGGAGACAGAGGAAGGGAGAGGGGGAGAGAGAAGCATGGAGCCCTCGGCCGGGCACGTGCCCTAACTGGGAATCCAGCTGAACCGGTGGCCTCCGGGTGCCTGGGTCAGTGCCCAACACACTGAGCCGCACCGGCTGGGGCAAGATCCCTTCGGGTCCAGCGTCCGTACACTAGCTCATTTTAATCCCACAGCCACTGGGAAGAATGAGAACATTCCAGAGCAGTCTAGCGGCCCGCCCAAGGCCACACAAACAAGTGACAATGGCTGGTCCAGCTGGATCCAGACTGGCACTCTACCACCATACCCGTCTCAGGGGCATGGTCAGCATGAACGGCGGGTTGAATTCGGTATTTACTCAGGTGACCCACACAGGAAGCGCGAGGCAGCGCTCGGGACAAGTTATAACATCAGCGAAGGGCAGGACGAACATCGAAACAGAAGGTGGTAGTCAGGCCCTACGTGAGCCACGACGGACCAGTAGATGATTTTCACGGAGTACTTCAACTTCTCCTTGAAGGTCTCCTTTTCAGTGCAAATTTAAAGTATCATGTAAACAGTACCAAATAACATAGAAAAGATACAGTTTGGAGGCTAAGCCATTACTAACTATATTTTAATGTTTTCATGTAACGAGGCAATATCATAAGAGTGAAATAACCGCCCGGCCGGGTGTGGCTCAGCAGTTGAGCGTTGACCTAGGATCCAGGAGATTGCGGTTAGATTCCCGGTCAGGGCACATGCCTGGGTTGTGGGCTCGATCCCCGGTCGGGTGTGCGAGAGGCAGCCGATCAATGACTCTCTCATCACTGATGTTTCTATCTCTCTCTCTCTCTCCCTTCCTCTCTCTGAAATCAATAAAAAAAAAGATATATTAAAAAAAAAAAAAAAAAGAGTGAAATAACCTAGAAGCAGCAGCATGACTGTACTCGCCTTAGTTACACATTTTACTGATCGGTTTCACATTAACTTACTGACAATAAGATTAGCGGTTGGGAAGGAAGGTGTGGAAATACCACTTTGCTCAGTAGTCACAATTATTTGTTACATTGGAAACACACTTATGCTTGCGGGAGCCAGAGAAGCCTAGGCATCCACCCTAAATGCCCTCTTTTCCTCCTCGCTGTCACCCCCTGCACCCCGAAAAGCAGAACACTAGCACTGCGAAGGAAAATGACAGATACTATCCTGCAACGGTGCTGAATTTTCACACGTTCTGTGAGGTTTTTAACTTGCAGATTGATGGCCTAGTCATCCAGATGGGAAGCAGAAGGAAGAGCTGGGTGAGAAGTTCCTGAGGGCAGCTGTGTACTCAGGTCAGCCGTGGAAGCCAGACCCGGGCTGGATTCAGAGACCCACGTAGAGGCCCACGTAGACACCCACGCAGACACCCACGTAGACACCCACGTAGACACCCACGTAGAGACCCGGGGCTCGTTGCCCACGGCAGCAGCCAAAGCCTTCGTTACACAGACACCACAGCAGTGTCTGGAAAAGGCAGAGAACTTGGGGTGAGAAGCTCCAGGGTNGACCCGGGGCTCATTGCCCACGGCAGCAGCCAAAGCCTTCGTTACACAGACACCACAGCAGTGTCTGGAAAAGGCAGAGAACTTGGGGTGAGAAGCTCCAGGGTAAAGTCTCAGACCTGCCACTTGTCAGCCTTGTCCTTGGACGAACGTTTTAAACCTCCCGTCTCAGTTCCCTCATCTGTGAAATGGAGACGATACCAGTCTCCTCTACACACAGGGCTGCTGTCAGTGAGCAGTAAGGGGCACATCTGAAGACGTCTTCAGAAGTCCAGTGTGTGCACTGGTGGCTGCGGTCAGTGGTATACATTCTATCATCCAAGTAAAGAGACATCTTAAAGCTTAAAGAAAAATAAATAAGCAAAGAAGTATGTAATAGACTGCAGTGAGCAGCTGAAAGTGGGTGATAACAAAAGAAAACACAAAGGACATTGAAAAGGGTTATGGCTATTGATTTTCTGTCCAGTCAGTTGAAATTCGCTAAAAATATATATAAATGTTTACTATATTTACTTCTTTGACCATATTGCCTAAAACTTGTAATGGTCTTTACTACAGGACCTAACCAACTCCTCGTTCTTAGAATCAACCACATCCCCACTTTGGCCTAAAACAAAAACTACTTCTCTTGTTTCCCCGAGTTGGAGATGTTTCCCCAGATGCCCATTTGTGCCGAGGTCTGTCACCCTGTCTGGGTTTCCTCGGATAATGCAGTGGCTCTAGTCTCTAACTGAAGCTTTATGGCACAAATCTGAGTCGGTTTCCAGACTCCCAATGGCTGTTTTTATGGACATATGAAAACAGTAACCCGGCTTTTCTGCGATTAGTGACAATATGCAATCACTCTATAGGCAGGCGCACGGCGTAGCCCGTCTTTGTCCGGAGCAGGGTCTGCACCGTGGAGACCTGAGCTCACCTGCCGTACGCATGTCTCACACAGTCCCCAGGGGCTGCCGGGAGGACTTGTGGCTTTCCCTGTGCTCGTCCCCGGCACGGTGAAGAGTCCCTTGGGCCGAATCCTCTGCGTGCTCGTTCGGTATTTCTTCCTCAGCTATCACAGCCTCTGACGTGAGGCTGAGGGGCTGAGCTCTCCTCTGGGGTAACGCTGCCTGGCCCCGTGCCCCAGCGCCTGGGCCCACTCTGCTCCCGGCGCGCCCCGCCCGCCGTCAGTGAATTCACTTGATCTGAGTTCACAAGGGATGCAAACCACTCTTGGCAAAAGGTCACACACAAGGTCAGCGTCACTCTGGATTCGGAACACAAACTGGATTTCACAAAGATATCTGTATCGGAATTAGAAATCGGTAAGCTCTCCTGTACACACAACCAAGAAAACAGCTGCTCCTTTCCACTAAGTTAACGGGAAGAGTCTGCCGCTCCCGGCTGGGGCACCGTACGTTCAGGAGCCAGCATTCGGTCCCGTCGCCAGAGGCGAGAGCTGAAGTCATCACTCCAAGTCTCCTTTAACGAAGCAGAAAAGATGCTATGATGTCTCGGCCATGTCAGTTCCCAACACCGATGGCCTCGGCCGCATCTTCCGGCTCTCCCGGGTGCACGGATGCGCTTCACATTTATAACAGCAGCAAAATGCAGGAGCGGCCTTGTGTCTTTCAAAGTCTCCTATTAGCTTAGCCAGTTCCAGCTCCAAATTATTGTAAACAGTGGCCAAGAGCGGGGACAGTGCCTCAAGATGGGACACTCATGTCTTACCCACTTACAATCCTACTGTGCTCCAGGAGAATGAGTTTTAAAGGAAATATAGTTTACAACTTGTCCACTCATTCATTCATTCATTCATTCATTCATTCATTCATTCAACACATAAGCACTGCTTGACTACCTTCATTGGAGGCGATATGATGAGCTGCAGAGAGGTTTGGGGCCCTGGCGGGTGTGGCTCAGCTCACTGAGTGTCGCCTGGGGCACCCAGAGGTGGCCAGTTCGATTCCTGGTCAGGGCCCATGCCCGGGTGGTGGGCCCGACCCCCAGTAGGGGGCGTGCAGGAGGCAGCCCACTGATGGTTCTGTCTCATTGATGTTTCTCTCTCTCTCCCTTCCTCTCTCTAAGTATCAATAAAAACATATTTTTAAAAACCAGACTGGGTTTAAATCCTGGCTTCACACTTGACCACCTCAGTGACCTTCAACAAAACACCCTGTCCCTCTGAGAACCAACTTCCTCTCCTGCGTCAGGAGGAGGGAGGGTCAGACGACATCGCAGGGCGCGGCGCACTGCGCTCTCGCTCCTCGGCGGCGATAGAAAGATGAATAAAATATGTTCCTGTCATTTAAGGACACCCAGCGTGGGGGACACACGCACACCCAGCAACAAGCAGATTAACACCCACGATGACGAGGGATGACGCGCAGGCAGGAATTTAGTGCTGCTGTTGAGGAGCAGTGGCCGCTGGCGTGATCTTGACTAAAAGAGCCAAACAAAGTTACGAGGCAAGTGACCCGAATTGACCACAATAAAAAGAGGAGAGTTTTGGAGATAAGCAACTAATGGTTCTATAAGTCACGCTCTCAGATGAATCCACATCATAAAACCCCTGACGCCGGTCATACATCCTTGCTCAAACCTCTGGCCGCTTGGGACGCTCAAAACAAAACGGTGCAAGGGGCTGCCCGCAGCATAAAAGGCTGACGCCTTCCGCTGACCGGGGAGGGCCGTGCGCGGCTTCCCCGGCCTGCGCAGCGCTGGCCTTGAGGATTTCCTATCAATTACACCAGGTATTCTATCCCTTCTAAAAAGTAGTATTTGAGAAGATTCTCATAAATCTCCCAGGAAAGTTTTGGGAGCTTAGCTTCAAACGGTAACTGCCTGAACTAATTATATCAAAGCGTTTGGTTACAGCAATTTCTAACCCTGGCTGCACATTAGAGTCACCGGGGGAGCTTTTAAAACTATTAAATAGCAAAATACCTGACATGTGGTAGCCAATCAATGAATGGAAACTTATTTCTCTATTAGTCCCTCCAACCTATCTCCAGTTCCGCGTTTCCCAAAGGCCTGCCACGTGTAACGCGCATCTCGGCGGCCCGACTCAGCCGTGCACCCCACAACCTCCCATCTGACTCACCACGTACTGAGTTCTTCTACCCAAGAGGTGGCCAAGAGAATCTCTTCACCCATGTGACACTGCGTATCTGTCCCTCTTGTTTGCGGGATGGTCTTAGCCGGTCTTCCCGCTTTAACCCCATAATCGCTACCCTGCCGCCTGGCTCCCCTCCCACGGTGCAGGTGTTCAAGTTCACATTCCTTAGCTCCTCAGGGCCCCCCAACATTAGGGATCTTCTTGTCTTTGTAACTTTACCTCCGGGGTCACCTTTCTGAGACCCTCTATTTCAGCCAAACAGAACCCTTCCTGGGAAAAGATGAAGTGTTTGAATAAAAAACTTTCCGCGTCCCTACTTCTATGTCAGCCTCAGGCTCATGCTTTGTCTTTTCTCATCTCCTGTTCTCGCCACCAGAAACGTCCGTCCATCTCTACGTCACCTGGACCCTTCCCACGGCCCTTGTCACTTGCATATATGAGGAAGGCTTTAACGTTTATAGGGACACTTCCGTAAGAGGTGAAAAAAACAAATCATCGGGGACCACTGTGTCATTTATTCCAGTGCTTCCTTTCTCTGTCGGTTACGTTTCGGTCCGCATTTTGGATCCTCTTCATAAAACCGATCACTCCTGGCCCCAGGGCAGCTGCTACAGCACTCCTTAGATCCCGCTGGAAGTATTGTCATCCTCACAAATCACCATCTCTCTTCCATAACAGTTCACTGAGTAAGCAAAATATAACTTCAAAAATCAAAGCCAGAAATACCTAGGTCCCTAAGGCCAAGGAGACTTAAAAACCATCACTGTCACGGCACGTCACACTACAGGCACACGACCCAGTGAAAAAGGGGCACAGAGCCGGGTGTGCTGCGTGGTGCGGAAACATCCAGCCCGCAGCTCTCTCCAGCTGAGTCCACGTCTCCGTATTTTATCGCAGTTGAACACACTGAATCTGGGCAGAATCGAGGGAGAAAGGACAACAGGACTGTTTAACTGGAGGTCAGCTGCCCTTCAGAGCGGGTCCGTGGCCTCCTGGCAAACGGGGGAGCCACCTGAAAGTCCCTGGATTTCAACAGCACTGTCCCCGGTGCGAGGCCCTTACAAGCAGACAGGGGCCCCGGCTGTCCTTGGTCGCCTTCGTCTGCTGGGAGGAGGCGCATGGAAAAGGCAGGGCTGCCCGTGTAGCGCACACGCCTGCTGACACGGGTGCAGTTACATGACAGTGACTTTAAACAGGGCCCGTCCCGTGAGCCACGAGAGGCAGGCCGTCCCCTCCGAGCGACCACCGTCCGCGCTGCCGCGGGCCGGCCGCAGGTCAGTACGGCGGGGCCGGGAGCGAGCCTGAGGACAGACGGGCCTCATTCTAGAGGGGGCCCCAGCGGAACGGGCCTGGGGACGTATCCGCGCAGTGGCCAATTACTTGAGAGTGCGGCTTGGCCAGAGCTGCAAAGTGTCTTTATACCGAGTCTTTCTATGGGTAAGGAATGTTTTCATTAACGAGAACGAACATGGAGGGGATTGAAAAAATAACAAGTGTGTCTATTTCTGGAGGAAAACATTTCTCACAGGGAAATTAGGGCTCTGTCACTCTCTCCTCATTTAAAAAATTAGACATGTGGGTAAAGTGATATTTGGGAAGGCTGGCCAGCGATAATTCATAATTGCTCCTGTCACCGAGCTGTCTGTCCATTTCCTTCCGTTTTTTTTCCTACCAAGTTTGATTTCAGGTTTAAATTCTCCTACTCAATTCTCTGCTCTCTGCTGTACCTACAGCTCCTTTGTCTGAAGGAGAAAATATGAAGAGATCAGCAGCATCGACGTTAGGATTTGTGTCGCAGAACAGCGAGACCACAGGGAGACACGGCCTTTGTTTCAGACTTAGGAGTCTCACGGAGACATCAAACATCAGAGCTGCTAAAAAATAAAACAAGGCGGCAGATGACTGGAGTCCCAGCTTAATTGCCTGCAAACTAGATTCTTACATCTCTCCAATAACAGAAGAAAATCCCTGCCAACATCTATGTGAGGAAAACGCCGGGCTGCTAGCACTGAATTTCGCGGCTATGCTACTTTTAATGGTGATTGGTAAACTCTCAAATAGCGAAAGATTATAAGGGACTCATCAAAAGATGTAAATTAAACCAAAATAGAAGAAATGCCATCATAATTTCCCACCTTCCTAAAGAGTTGTTTCTCAAAAAAAAAGAAAAAAATGTGTGGAGAATTTACATAAATTCTAGGATATGATAAAATATTCATTAAAACCTCAATTACACAGGTAGACGGGATACAATCCCGGGAAAGGTGTCAAAAGCGCAAACAATGTAAACCAAACCTGGTTTCCCCAAGCTCGCAGTGTAAGAGGAGATCATGAACTGACACTTAACTAACCATAGAAATGAAAATAAGCCCAGCACTGGATCTACCTACCTCTCTCTTTTACTTATATAAATAGGAAGGTGCACAGA